GTAACGGAGAAGTGGGTCACATAGCAAGAGTACATGGAAAAAACAAAGGCATTTTGAGGAAGGGATGGGTCTGGATGTTTTGGGCACCCACTTGGATGACATACCTGTCTGGAATTCTTAGACCAGGTCACGCTAATTATAGTACAACTTTAAGTTACCGCTTATTCCTCAGAAGAGGCGAGTAGGTCTGGCCATTGCATCTTTATCTTGAGGCCTGGTGTTTTTCAGATGTGCCTCCAGTCAGAGTTCTGATGTCTTCATTTATTTATCTATTTCCAGCAGTCAGTGTGCTGGCGTGATGGCATCAATGAGACACCAGAGTCACCGGAGTCATCACTGTACTCGTGCTTGCCCTTGGTGACCGCCAGCCACTCCAAATGTTATAATCACTGCCACAGTCCAGTTGCATTCTTGATCTGTGGCTCCTCTTGCAAGGTTCAGGGACCTGCATGCCCACTGTTGCACAAGGGCAGACTCCATCCTGTGGTCCTCGTCTCCACCCCACCTCTGCAGCATACTCCACTGCTGTAGGTCCCAAGCAGACAGCAAGGGCTCCATGCTGCCCCCCTAGAGCTCACCACACAAAAGCAGTGTCTTTATTTTTCTGTTGTTCTTGACTTCCTTGAGAGTCCAGTCCCTCTCTGACTGTATATTAATTTTTATCTAACTTAGCTGCCTAAATTATTTTTGGAACCACCAATTCAGAATTGAGGATTTTCTTCTTACTTTACCCATAGCATTTTATAGGATGTCTTCTTTCTTATAACCTAACAGTCGTCTTGAGACAGTGTAAAAGATCATCTTGGCAGCTAGAAGGAGTCAAGAAAAGTCGAATCATTTAGGCAGTGTTTAGTTAGGATTCTCTAGAGCAACAAAATCAATATAAAATAAATTTATAATTACACAAAGAGATTCGTTAGGTACACTTGCAGGATCAAAGGTGAGTAAGTCAAATTGACCATTTGTGAGATCACAGGAGAATCCAAAATGCTGTCTGCACACCCAGCAACCAGAAGATCTAGTAGCAATTGAAACTCAAAGCCCTAGAAGCTCCCTGCAGAGTCACCAGGACTAGTCTTCCCTGGAAGGCTGAAGAAACTGGAGACCAATGTCCAAGGCAGTGACAAGACGAGTCCTCCTAAAAAAAGGAGACTGTTTTCATTTTCTTTTCCTTTCCCTTTTCATTCTATCCATGGTATAATCCTGTTGGTTAATACCACTCCAATTTAAAGTGGCTCTTCCCCCATCCATTTGCTGGCCTGCACGTCAATCATCCAGACATGCCCAGAACTTTACTAAACTGTCAAGCAGTTTTTGCTTAAATCGAATTGGCATGTCACAGTTAACAATCAAAGGTGTTCATCACTTGTGTTATGAAATTTGAGCAAAATATAGGCCACTTTTGAAGGGATATCCTTCCGTTTGCCAGTGGTTAGAAAGCTAAGTTAAGGCTGTGAATAGAGTTTGCTTGCATAGCGGCTAGGCACTTTCTGGACATAAACTTTTCCCCTACCTGTATCTTAACCTCATTCTCTTTTACACCCCATTTTTCTCCATGTCTTATCACATTCATAACTCTCTTTTCTTTTGTACGACAGCTTTTCTTCTAAATTCTTTGCTTATACCATGACTCCTTTGGGACCGCAGAGCTGGCTTCACAGGTTGTATTCAGCAGGGTCTAATGCTTGGCTTAAAGCTCCACTGTTGCCCTTTTGACATCTTTAATAAGCTTTGAACAGTGGTCGCTCATTTTACTTGTATAATGGACCCCCAAAATTCTGTAGCTAGTTCTATCTGAGAATCTTTATGGTTAATACCCCCAATCTAGGAAGAAACTGCTTCGCCTTTTTCTTTTTACCCTCAACCCCTCTCCCATTCTCTTATCTCACGAGTACAGCACAGTTTAGCTGGCTGAAATGGAGGCAGGGGAGAGCCACAGGGGAAAAAAATAAACCTTGGAGGACAGTTTGACATATATTTTCTTGTCACATGGAAATAATCAGTCTGCTATTTCTGTTTCATAGCAGTATGGATTTGCAGGATAATGACAAAAACACCCTCTATCCATCCTGCTTGAGCTACACTGCTTCCACCTGCCACTCAATGTCTTCTTATATGATAGCTGACTTCCCTTCTCCGTGCTCACCCACCCCAGGCTAGCAACATTCCAGAATCTCATTATTACTATTATTTATGTTGTGCTGGGGTTAAACCTAAGACCTTGCCCCTGCTAGGCAAGTGCTCTACCTCTGGGCTACACTTGCAGCACCTCTTTATTGACTAGCCCACTGAGGTATTTATTTGATGTGATGCAGCAGTGCTTCCCATGAGACTGCTCCAGTAACTAGATGTGGAATTAGTACTCAGATCTCACAGCCTAGACAGGTAGTGTAGGGACAGAGATCTGTAGATGAAAAAATAGAATGGGAGTCTCCTTAGGTTTTCTAGCTGCTCCTGACTAGAAGGAGTTGGATAAACTTTACTAAAGAGATTCCCCTGGAATAGTGTAGGAAACAAATAGGTAAAGAAAGGAACCAAACGGCCTTGGGACTTGCACAAAGGGACCAGAAAAACAGCAGACAGGAAAGAGGCAAGACACAGACAAAAAGCCTCGCCTAATTCCAGTAAAATAAAGAGGAAGCAAAGGGAGTGACTAAAGTGTCTATGTACTCACACCTATGCACTAACATATACATTGATATACAAGTGTATTCTCTTTACAGTTACTGTATTATGCACTCTATGGTCATCATAGAGTACAATAGATATCCACATCTTACTCTAAACTAACCAAAAATAAGGCACTCCCTTGTCAGCTAGCTGTCTGCCCCAAACATAGGGCCTTTCTAGTGCAGATCCATGAAACAGACTTGCATGAATCATTGTTGTGGGCTCTAGGTTGTCAGCTAGACTCCTGTAGGACATTGCTGTGGGATCCAGTCTCTCAGCTGGATTCCTTGGGTCTTAGTGTGTGGACAGATTTCCTAAACTTCTTGTATTTAACTCTTTGGGTTATTATTAAAAATAATACTACAAATTTTGTGTCCTGTATTATTTTGTTCTCCTTATTATCCTTGACTACAACAAAATAAGATCTCTCTCTCTCTCTCTATCTCTCTCTCTCTCTCTCTCTCTCTCTCTCTCTGTCTCTCTGGCTATAGTCAGAGAGATAGAGTTTATATCTCCCTATGTACACATATGGCTTTGGGGGCCTGCAGCTATGGGTAGGTTAAGGATATGATATATGAAAATGTGGTTAACATATATAAAAATGTCACATATATCTTTACTAAGGTATTGTATACAGGGAAAATCATTGATGCCAATAGTCTTGAATGTATAGAATATGGGAGAAGTCGTGTTATAGATTAAAAATTTGTCATGTGTTATGGATTTAAAACTTTGTTGATCATAATGAACTCAGATTTAATTATTAACCTTTGGTCTTAGTTGTGTCCTCTGATTATTTTCTTTATTTGGTTTTAAAAGTTCTTAACAATTGAGTCCAATTCTCTAAACATGGTTGGACCAATGAAGAGAGGTCATCAACAGTCACTTTTTATTACTGCAGCTAAAATTATGACCTTTTTGGTAGTTATTTTGCAGCACTGGATAAAATCTCTTCTTTGAAAGTGTCTTTTATGTCTCTCCACAGAAATGGCTGCAATGTTTCCTCTCCTAGCTTTGTAATAATTTATTAGTCTGTTTCACTTGGCTCTAAGTGCCTTGAGAGAAAGAACTATGCTGCCTCATTATCCTTGTAACTTCAGTGTCTAATACAATGTTTAGATCCCAGACAGATTTGTCATCCATTTGATGAATTAAATGAATGAAAAATTCTTTTGAAAAAATTGAATGTAAGAAACAAAATTATTATGCCACTGTATGCCTATGGGGCAATTTTATGTTTGTTCTTAAATTATCTTAATCTTCACGTCAATTTATTTTAGAGTAAGAATTTGAGGAAGCAGCTTAAAGACAGATTCAAATACATAGGTCTTTGGCATTAGTTTTATAATTAAATTGGATATGGAATAGACTATAACGTAATGTTTGCCAAAAAAAGTGTTAGAATGATTTTGCTGTATAAAATTTGTTACATTTATGAGACAGAGAGAAAAAGATTTTTAAAGTAAGATTTAAAAATGTTAGGTTCCTTTGTTCAAAGGGCTAATAGATACAGACTGGGAAATAAATTATTCCAGTACAAAACTGTTTAAAGAGAGCGGCTCTGTGTCCATTAAGGTTATCTTCTTTAGGTAACCAGGAAAATTTTCTTTAGGTAACCAGGAAAATTTTCACAGACATGGTGAAATTTGATTTTAGCTTGAGGGGTCAGTGGCTTTTTGGCAGAGTAAAAGGAAAGGCCCACTAATGTGAGTAATTTCTAATTCTTAGCTTTCCAAAGCTGTTTTCGTTGAGGTTTTTATTACCTGTTTAGGACTGAAACTAGCTTTGGTGGAGTGGAAAATACTTCATGTTCTAGAATGAGCCAGGAGGTGACACCCTAGAGGTAGCAGCGCCGAATCGACAGCTTCACACTCTGTTTTGCCATTAATGAAATATATACTGGTAAGCAAGTCACTTACTCGTTCCAGGCCTGAAGTTTTGACTAGATAATCATCCCCGATCCCTTCCAGTTCTAACAATTTGAGTTTCTGTAATGTGACTTTGGGGCTTGGTATTCAAGGGACTTTCACATTTCACCGGTGGATTCTCAAGGAATAAAGTTACAGTTAGGACCAATAAAGCATACAATTCACTTTCTCCAAGGTATTTGCCTCTCATACAACCACAGCTACTGGCCCTTTAAGAAAAAATAAATGGAGCAGGGCAAGAGGGCGCGGACCTGGACCCCAGAGTCCGCTAATCCCGCTTCTTCCGGGGAGCCACTCAGCGGGCTGTCGCATGGCATCTTGGGACATGCAGTTTTTCTCGGACTTCCCCCTCTTGGTACCTACTTGCTTTTGAAAGGAGATGAACTACGACTCCCAGAGGGCCGAGCGACAGCAGCGCGTCCTGCCCTCCGGCCGCGGCTGGGCGGCTAGTTCAAGTTGCCATAGCTGCGAGTCTAGGGTGTGAGGAGTCCGTTGCGCCGCTGCGTTTGGTCAGTTGCACCTTCTGGGTCTCTGGCAGCCGCGGGAGCCAGGTGAAGCCTCGGCGATGATCCGGCTTTAAGGACCTGGCGTCGTCTTGTCTCAGGTAAATGCCCCCACCGCCCTCTTGTCCTTTCTCCTCCACTTCCTTTCCTTATCGTGGATGTCTTAGGTCCCACTTCCCCTTGTCCCAGGGGTGGGGACACCAAAGCTGCGCCTGGGGCCCTGGGTGTGAGAAGTATGTGTCAAGGTAGGGGGAGACAGCAGGTCTGATAAAGTCCCTCCGCAGGGGCGTTCACAGGCAGGTCCTGGGCAAATTACACAGTGAATTTAGACCATGTCGTCTTCCCTCGGGGGAGAGCCTGCCATCAGCTCTTGTGGCGGGTTAGCATCTGGAAAATTGGATTCTTGCTGTAGGTCTTCCAGGGAACCTTCTGGCATTTGTTGCCTGCCCCCGGATAGAAACTGGTTTATTTTGTTCTGAAGTCAGAAAGTTTGCAGCTCCGGCAGTGTTGTTTCAGTCGTCTGTTTTTCCTATGCCAATATAGCATTTGCCTAACCGAAGCTGTCAGTTCCTTACTTGTATTTGTAGGACTATCTGACATTGAATCCAGCCACAATCTTTCTTTGTTGGCTTGATGTACCTCGTTGTCTTAGTCAGACATCCTGTAAAACCGAATAATTATACTTTGCAGGTTTGAGTTCAGTATTATGTAACGTATTTAACATTTGCCTCCTATACAACCAAGCTACTGGTTCTTTAACAATACTACAGTTGCTCAGTATTTGTTCCTTGGTTAAAATTATTATGCAGGACACTGTTACCGAATAGAAATGTAATGTGAGCCACACAGGTCATTTAGAATTTTGTGGTGTGCACAATAAGAAATTGGTGAAATTAATTTTAGTGTTTGACACAGTATGTTAAGAATGCATCCAACATGCAATAAAACCTGGAATGTTTTAATTCTTTTTTAAAAACTGGTACTGTGTCTTTAAAATCTGTGTATTATCCATTTATCACACATATCAATTTGAACTGTCCAGAATTTTTATTAGTAGCCACAGGCTAGTTAGTATTGGACAGTCCAGAGAGAAAATGAAAACTTAAGCACTTATACATTGTCATTGAGAAATTTCACTTTGTCTGTGACCCATCTCGGGGTGAAGGTACACCACACTATCTCTCAGCATATCCTTCTTGGCCACTGCAAAAGACAATGTCTCAACAGTTTATTTTGATTAACTTTTGCAGAATACCTTCTTTCTAGGGATAGTTTATTGATGTACCAGATCTGCTCTCTATGTGGGCAACCACTGTTGTCCTGGATGAATTTCTGTGTGTTCTTACTGAGCGTTTTGAAAGCACTCACAAAAATTGAAAGTATTTCTGTCCACAGCTCTTTCCTAAAACCAAAGATATTTTACTTTTATTTTTTAAATTTTCAATACCAAGTGTGGGAAGAATCTATAAAATATTTCTCTTTAGAGGCTTAGACTGGCTTAGAAATACAATTGTGTCATCAAATTCAGACATTAAATATGAATTTCATTACATACTTAGTTTAGCAACTGGTTGATATGCTTGGACAATACTTTTGACCAGATTTCGGCTAAAATTTGTAGTACATTATGCTCTAGCAAGCTCAACAGGTGACTGGCATGGATTAAAGACACTGTGAGCAATGTGCTGGTTGGCAACTAGGATATGAAGAATTCTGGTGAGGTTACTTGGGCTTTAGGATGATTCTAGGAGCATTTTCTCTCGTCTGCAGTCTACTATAATCTTTACAAAAAGAAATTGATCTAATCTTTTTTTATTAAAAAATTAAAGTTATAAGTATGTTTTACTTCTTTGTTTCATTTATTGGTAGGTGGTTTGTGGAAGGTGTGGGGCAACCAAAGATCATCTACTTAACTAGACCTTTTGCCCTGAATCTCATGAAGAAATGAAAAGAGGCAGGTATATGTGCCTAAGAAAAGCACTGAGCTCAGGAGAGAGCAACGCGGAGTTTTGGGGGTGTGCTTTGTAAGTATGCATTCTTCCTGAATTTCATTTGTGAGATAACAACTAGTTGCATATTTATAGGGGAAAACACTGATGCCCAACAAATAAACTTTTTTGGAGCAAGAAGCTCCTTTCTAATGTATAGTATAAACATACACACATACACGCAATGGAATGGTTGTGCACACAATGTTAGAAAAATTCATATGCAGGTGGAATGTGTTTACAGCCTTAACAAAAGCATCAATATTGCTGTGTTTTTATTAGACAAATATTTTGTCCTACCTTTAGCCAGGCACTATATATATTCTTTTATTATTCTTATCTTCATTTTGCAAAGGCTTTAGTTAGACTCAGATAGGTTGTTTGATTTGCTTGGAATTGTGTAGCAAGAGACTTCTTTATTTCCAAGTCTTCTGATTCCAAATCCATGTGTAGGGGCTTGTTGCTGTGTATAGTTGCCCTCTAATAGGACTTGATTTGCACAGCATTTTTGTACCATGGACAGGTTACTTATGTTCATTTCTTTATGTATTCAGAGGATTCTTTTTCCTAGTTCTTAAAAATATAGTACTCTTTGATATTGAAGTAGGAGTGTTACAGAATTTCATAAAATGAGCATATTCAACATGAATTAACGTAATATACTGTTAAAAATTTAAATTTTGCAATAGATGTAAAATTCTGGACATTCTTTGCACTTAATTTTGGATTTTGACAGATCAGAGGCACTTATGTATACGGGGAGACACAGTGAGGGCTCACAATAATTTTGAATCCAAAGTCTTTGGTGTGTAATATTCTTAGAATTAAAGAATTTTAGAGCTGGAGGGGCTTTTAGGATAATACATTTCAGAAATTCTCAAATATACAATGCTAACACATTTGAAGGTAATATAAAAATGATGGATTTACAGTTATTTCTATAATAACGTCACTGAACTGATTGTAGTATGATATGATTTTAATATAGTCATATTATAGTACATTTTTCTTTTTTAAATAACTATGTATTGTTGCTTGTCAGCACATAAAATTCTTTTCCTGGTGACACATGTCTGTAATCCCAGCACTTGGGAGGCTGAGATAAGAGGATTACCACAGGTTTGAGACCATCCTATACTATGTAATAAGACCGTCTCAAAAACAAAAAACAAAAAACAAACAAAAAAAAAATTCTACTTTGTCTCTTTTAACTGCTACATAATAGTCTAGTGATTAGATGCTTTTAAAGTATGCCTGATCAGCTAATATATGTTTCTTTCTTATGTAATAATTCTGTACTGAAATTCTTATATGTACTTACACATAACAGATATATCTCCTTTTGTTTCCCTAGGATAATATTCATAGAAGTAGAATTTCTGAGTCAATTATATATCTGTAATTTATTTTGAGTTATTTATTAATTTATATTATTTATATATTTATATTATATATTTATATATTTATTTATATTATATATTTATATTATTATTATTATTGTGTTATTTGTTTATATAATACTTGTATTGTCAATTCATTCTCTAGAAAAGGTGTCTAATTTTTGTAGCTAATATTTGTACAATGACATACTCACCAACCCTGGGAATGAAAGATTTGTTTTCATCTGTATAAGAAAGAACCAAGAATATAATTTTAATTTAGAATTCTTTAGTGATATGAAATATGTTTATACATTTTTTAGGGCTATTTGTATTCTGTAAATTACCTGTTTATGTATCCTTTGTGGGTTTTACTATAAGACTGTTCTTTTTGTAGTATTTATAAGTTTTCTCTTTAGTTTTAAACCTTGTTATCAGTAATTATGAATGATTAACACATTTATCAGGTCTTTAAAGATATGTGAATCTCTCTGAAATTCATACTACCCTTACCACAGATCTATACAATGCTGACAGATACTCAGAGTGTTTGGGGAGATGAAAGTCTTTATAGTAATCTGAATCCACTTTGCTGTTGAACATTAGAATCTACTTATTCTGTGTACAGGGTTTTTCATGAAACAGATGTTTAAACTTGAATGAGTACTTGTGAATAAATAAGCCCACAGGTGAATGGATGGGTGAATTAAAGCTAAGTCTGAGCTAGATTTTTGATGAATATATGTATATTTTTGGCCATATTGGGGATTGAACACAGGGCCTCACATATGACAAATGTTGTACCCTACATCCCCAGTACCTGTGATTATTATTTTAAAAGATGAATAGACAGTTTTATAGATGATAGAAAGCAGAAAAACGTTGGTAGTAGGAAAGTGAAAGCTTTCAAATACTAAAAGTGGCTTGCCTATGAGTAGTGGTATATAGAAACAATACAGAAAACAGACTAATGATGAAGGGTTTAGGTAATTTGAAGTTGATTTATCTTTACAGTCTAGATAATAGTAGTTGAGGAATGCAGATAGTTACAAATGAGTCATAAATAAAATGATTCACAACAGTGCAGTAAATTCTTAGGTTTGATTTAGTCATGGATAGGTTTTAAAATGTTTTGAAATGTTTACCTCATTTACCTTATGAGACATTATTAAGTATTCATATTTATGCTATTTTGCACCTCAATCCATATTGTTTGAAGACTTTAGCTAATTAATCAAGGCCATTTGTCAAGAGAATTTCTTCATGCAACAATTATTTAATTAGTACCTGCTGTTTGTAGAGCCCTGTACTTTGAAATTTGTTTTTGGATTATTCAGACAGGATAATAAATTAAGTTGTAAATGCATTTAAAAATGTCCCAGTTACATGCCAGACACTATGCTAGATGTTGTGATGCAACCATGTCTTAATTTCCTTTTGTTTGGCTTAAAGAGAATACCTGTCACTGGGTGATTTATAAAGGAAAGAGGTTCTTTTGGCTAACAATTCATGGCTGAACAGTCCAAACAGCATTGTACCTACGGCTGTCTGCTCAGTACCTCACTGGCTGTGTTGCAATGTGGTGGAAATGAATGGGGTGAGGAGGTCATGGCAGGAGTGGAAGGAAGAGAGGGATCTGGGAAAGCCCACCTTGCCATGTAATTACCCAGTCTCATGCAGCCAGTTCCATGCTATGGGACCTAGCCCATTCTTAGAGTCCAATGTTAATCCCTTTTGAGGGTGGTGCCCCCTTCCATTAGTCCCTGCCTCTTATGGTGTCGTGCCTCCCCCCCCCCCGCTCTGCATGCCACTGTACTGAGGACCAAGCTTCCTACACACATGTCTTTGAAAGACAAATCACATCCAACCATAGGAGTCTGTGAATAAAATAAACAGTCTCTGATGAGATTTAGAGTCTAGTGGGTAGGTAGACAAGTAAATACTGTAAGAAACCCACCTATGAGTTTGTCCCCAACTGGAGAATAAAAGAGAAAGATTCACTGTTATTTTAGAATGTGGAAAGCCAGGAGCCCTTTACCTGTAATGGTCAGAAAGCACTGAGCAGCTGTCTCACCCTGTTTTTTTCACTCAGACATGGGAACAGGTAATTAGAGTAACACAAGATTCATCTGCTTCCCACCATCCGTTATACATGTCCAGGTTAACAACTGGATTTCAGCTGTGCTGACTTTTCCCTAGACTTGCTATGCACCATCATGGCTGCATGATGCTTTTTTCCTTTATGCTCATAGAGGAGGTCAATTAGTTCTCATTATCTGGTCTTCTACAAGAGGCTTTGGGGGGACATCCAGACAGAAACCATAGCACTTGCTGAACCCATATTTTAAATTTTAATTTATATATTTAAAGCATTCTAGGAAGAGTTCATGGTATAGTCATAAGCCTTTTTTAAAATTTAGAAGTTTTTACTATATTTTGGGAAATACACAAATCATTGTAGTTGTCTACTTTAAAAATCAAGAGTAAGAAACACAGAACTCTTAAGTAAGTCAATAAATACAAGAAAATTATTCCAATTTTTTATTCCAAAGAATTAAGGGAAAGATCTAAAAAGATAAGGTAAAAACAGTGGGAGAAGAAAGAAATGTTAAGATTGGGGAATGGAGTGGGGGAAACCTAAAAACTGTGTGTGTGTGTGTGTGTGTGTTCTTATATTCCAAAAAGGTAGTATTCTTTTGTAAAATTGAGTTTAAACTATGATTTCTGAGAATATGGGAAACCTTTCTCTACCTGAAAGAGGTTGTAATTATTAACAAGAAAAAGGATTCTTTTAAAGGCATCTTAAAATAGCTGTAGAAAGCTGTAGAAAGATTTATAACAGATTTACATATTTAACAATTATCTTGTATTTATTATGCAAACTATTAATTTTAGGTAAATGAATACTAAAAGATTTCTTTGGTCTTAAATTCATTTCTAGAGAGAGTGAGAGAGATAGAGCATAGAGAAATCATGAGAAGAAGGAGGGAAGGACAAAGAAAACTAGTTAGTGATGTATTTGGAAGGAACGTAATTGTTTTGCATCTAAGAATACAATGAAGAAAGTCATTAGCTTAGAAATAGATTTGGCTTCTAGCTCTGTTACTGCAATTTTTTAAGCAAAGTAATCTTAGCCAAAAACTTTATGCAGGTCTTTATTTTTTTTAGTGGCAAAAATGATTGTAATAATATCAGTTTTATAAGATTGTAATAAAAATCATATGAGAAAATGCTAATAAAATGCTTTGTAAGCTGTGAAGCTGCATAAAATTTAAAGTATAAATGACATTAAATATTTTTTATTCTTGAAATTGTTGTTTTGGTTCACTAGGAAAGTCACAAGGCTTCTTTCTTTAAAAATTATACTCTATAGTATATTTAAGAAATAGCTTTTTTTTGTGTGTGAAAAATTGAAATTGTTATGGGAGGCTGATACATAGCCCTGACTGCTATTCAGAGTAGCTTTGGATTGTTTTTTTCAAAAACTACTAGCCTGTCACATGTTAATATCCATCCTTACACTTACTTTTTTTCAATCTATCTTGTACTTGTCATTTTCTTTCAATCATTAGAAAACTATAACATCTATTTACAGTCTGAAACCCACATGCTTTCTCAGAGAGTAGAGTTGAGAGAAAACTTCAGCAAATAAAGAAT